ATCCCTTACAATTTAGTCATTTCTCCAAATTTGTCAACTTTTGCTTATTTTCTTCGATCTCACCAACTTACATCACAACATCAAAATCACACATCTAATTATTTATCAATTACATAAACATTACATCATTAATTATTTAATTAACCGAAAAAATTACATCTTTATTAATAACAAATTAATTTTTAAACAAAACTATTAAATATAAATTAGACAAACGTGCATTGCACCTAGTTTCTTTAAAATTGTAACTTAAAATTGTTACATCATGATTTCACCATCACCATCCTCATAAATACAAAAAATTATTGTGCATCTAATTTCTTTCAGTTTTTGATATGTTACACCACCATCTTGTCCCTGCCAGCTCGTCATTACTAACAATTAGATCATTAACGCACAAAAAAAAAAAAATGCCTTGTTTGTGTCTCATTTTTCAATTTTTTTTTTTTTCGAACTCATTTTCAATTAAAATGTAAGTTCTTGGATAATTTTCACTTTTTAGTTGCATAGATTGCCCGTCAATGGCGTCTCGTCCAAAGGGACGAAGGCCTTCACAACTCCCTTGTAGTCGGTTCCTAGAAAACTTCTTTTTCCATAACACAACTTCTTTTTCACTATTGGACCATGTTTCTTGAACAATCTTAGTACATATGTCATAAGACTATTCCACAAATCTAGATTAGAATGGGATCGAATACGTTCACGTCTCATTTAGTGCCTAATTTGTCTTGATTTTCGATTAATGAACCTGAAGGAAACGAGTGAAATTTTAACTGCTATCCAAACATATCTTGTTATTGGAACTGCATGAATCAGCAAGTCTTCGAAAAAGAAAAAATAAAAAAGAAGAGGGATGAATGGGATCCGTGGGCACACAAAACAGTAAGATTTAGGCGGGGGACCCACTCGAGATACGGTCGTTTGCGTTGTGATCGAGCCCTGGGGCGGTCTATTTCGAGAGATGTCAAAGGGAAAGGATAAAGTGCCCCGCAATTCATGCGCTCCTATTTGTTTACGAGAAACGATGCAACAACTCTGCCACGGCACGTGCTCACGTGACTCCTTAATCTCGTATTTGGTTAATAATGAATTACACAGAGTTTGCATCTATCTTAAACTTGATTTGCGCACTCCCAATTTTCGTCATCCCACCAAATCCTCTCTTCATTAAACCCCTATTGGGTTAGTACCCTCAATAGTCACCAAACTTTGTCAAAAGTTTTCAAGAGATCACCGAACTTCAAAAGTTCCCTAAATAGTCACTGAACTTTGCAATAAGTTCATAAGAGGTCACTAAACTTCGTTAATACCCTAAATAGTCACCGAACTTTGCCAAAACTTCCCTAAATTGTCACTCAACTTTGCAAAGAATTCCTAATTGATCAATGAACCATTGATGTATGGGGTCTTAATTTACAAAGTTCGGTGACCTCTTGGGATGTTTTGGCAAAGTTTCGTGACTATTTAGGGTATTAACGAAGTTCAGTGACCTCTTAAAAACTTATTGCAAAGTTGAGTGACTATTTAGGGAACTTTTAAAGTTTGGTGACCTCTTGGGAACTTTTGACAAAGTTCAATGACTATTATGGGTATTAACCCAACCTCTATTTGATGAAAATTAAAATAAGATTTTTTTTATACATTTTCATGAAAGTTGATGAGATATGTAGTTGAAAAATTATGAATTTTATGAAATATATAGTTAAGATTAATTATTGACTTTAACTTAAATTAAAATTTTAATTTCTCCCAAATATGGACTAAATTTTCTAAAAGCATTCTTGAAAAGGCAGTGCCCAAATCTCAGTTTTTATATTTTACTTCCCGAAACAGAGACCGTAAAATTATATTAGATTAGTCTTCCCAAGGTTACATTTTGTGTAATCTTCAAAATAATAATTTCTATTTCAATCATGTTATTTTCTATATCTTTATTTACATTGTGCTACATGGAGAATTACCGATGGACAGTTTAAAAATAAAAAAAAAATTTCACAAACAATTTTTTTTTTTTAAAGGCAATGTCAAAAAGAATGTATATGAAGTAGTTTACATGTAGCATTATTGTTTATATTTAGCATAGTCTCACTTTTGACGGATAAAGTTTCTGTTGGCACCACTTAAATGTCTTATTTACCCTTGTCTGCCGCAGCACTCGAGCTAACATTTATATCGTAAAATTAGATAGGGAAGGAATAATTTTTACTGTTCTTTTAAATTTCACATATACTCGAGAGGACGTGCATAAAAATGATGCTTCCAGTCTGATGCTATCAAAATCCGTGCGTATATAATCTCGAGCTTGAGGAAAAGGGATGAGCACAAGATGTATCTTCGTTGATGACTGCAAATAGGTGAAATTGAATCTACAGTACCTAAAACAAATACGTCGATGTGTGTCCTCTTCACCCATTTGATACTCAAAAACAAAGCAAAAATTTATGCGTAGGGTTGTGAACTGAAAATTATCTAAAACATACTTGAATAAGGAACCTTGATTCTTTATTTATAGAGGTTGGTGGTGGGATCCTTTTAAGATTAAGCCACCTAGAATCCCTCTGTTTATCACGTAAAGTGATTTGAGTTATACTAAAATTACCTATTGGAGCTTGACTTGAACTGTAATATGTTGGATATTTGGATAAGGATGGATGTAGAGAATTTGAATTATGTGAGAACTAAAACTTCTCAAAAGCATGAGATAAGGACATGAAGAGTGGTATCACCAATATATGCCCTACCCTATCAAGAATCGACCAACGGGCCCAAGCCCGACCGGGTTTATGAGGAATTTGAGGGTATAATTGCTTCGGGAAAAAATGTCGGGTTGTATATGCGAGGGTTCGGAGTCGGGCTACGTCCTTTGTGCACATCACAATCATCTCCAAATATTAAGAAATGTAACAACAATATGAATCAAGATGAAATATTTTGTTTCTTTGGCTATTATCTAATTATTATTACTATTATTATTTTTGAACAAATTCATACATCTGATCTTGTTAGTAAACTTGTGTTTGGCACACATTTTTGGAAAATTATAAATTTTGGAATAGTGGATAGAAGAAGGTGTAGTTGAAAAGTAATGAAAAGTTTTAAATTTGTGTGTAATATTATTTTATTTGAAAAATGTGTGATTATAATTAAGAAAGAATTTTTTTTTAAAAAGGGTTAATTGGTGCCAAACACCCAGTAAACAAGAAGACTTCATTTCAAATAAGGTGTCGCTCATAGTGACATGTGTCGATGACTTGACATCGTTCCATCTACAAATAAGAATTAGAGAAATACTATTCATCCCAAGTGGGGATGCATCCCCAATCTATGTGTCTTTAATGTGACATTAAATGATAGATGAAATTAAATAAGTCATTTAATTTCACATATCATTTAACCAATTATTTACATCCACATAGATTGAGGATGCATCTCCACTGAGGATGAATATCATTTTTCTAAGAATTAATGTACTGTGTGATATGAAACAGTAGAATTGAAGTTGTTTTCAATGTTTTCAATGCACGGCTCCAAACTATTATTGCACGACTCGACCTCACAAAATTTAATTCTCAACAACCACAAGGGTATAAACGTCATTGACTTACCCCACCCCACTCACCCCAATGCCCGCCTTGGTGAGTTGGTGCTTTGGGAGGAGGATAAAAGCTGTCCCCACCGTATTTCATGGTTAAAATACAAATACAAAAACAACCCCGAAAAGAAGCATCACTTTTACACACGCCCTCTCTACTTGCCTTTCTGTTATCGCATAGTTAAAAATGAAAGAAAGAAGATAAAGTAATATAGAGAGGGTTGGGTTTTGTTAGAAACAATTTTGATTCTGATTGTTGTTCAAGTGAATTAGACAGAGAGAGAAAAATGGTGGGCTCAGCAGCATCAGACAGGGGCAAAGAAGCAGCAGGGATGATGGCCCTTCATGAGGCCCTCAGAAGCGTCTGTTTAAACTCAGACTGGACTTACTCCGTCTTCTGGACCATTCGCCCTCGCCTGTATGTACCCTCTTTATTTTCTTGATTTTTCTTCTACCCTGCTTAAAATTCACTTCTTTACTCCATTCTCGCAGGAGAGTTAGAGGTGGCAATGGTTGCAAGGTTGGAGATGACAATGGTAGCTTGTAAGTGTTTACTATGACTTTTCCTATAACAGTGCCTAATGTTTTTCTTTAGTTTCTTGGATTTAGGTTGTTAATTTTTTGTTTTGGTACAGGATGTTGATGTGGGAAGATGGGTTTTGTGGAGGGAGAGTTGCAAACTGTTTAGATGAGATGGATGTAGAAGATCCTGTCAGAAAAGCCTTCAGCAAAATGTCTATTCAGTTATATAATTATGGAGAAGGGTGGGTACTGGGTAGGTGTTTTTGGTTTTATAGATAATTTCTCTGTCATTCTGTGTGCCCCAATTATGATTAGGCTGCTGCACAGGGAACTAAAATCAAAATTCGAAAATGTTTTTAGTATGTGTATTGACTATTGAATGAGTGTATTGTGATTGGGTGAATTGGTTGCAGGTTGATAGGGAAAGTTGCTTCTGATAAGTGTCATAAATGGGTATTCAAAGAACCAGCAGAGTGTGAACCAAATATCTCCAACTACTGGCAGAGTTCATTTGATGCAGTATGTATCAAGAAACCCTTTATAGCATGTTCGATACGTTAAGTTGAATTAGACGAGACGGAATAGATAGAACAATTATCTTTTGTAATAATCAAGAAAGTGAACTTTTCACCTCTCAATTATTGGTCTGATTGAACTTGTGTTACTTCTGTGATTTACTAATTGCAGGTTCCTCCGGAGTGGACTGATCAGTTTGAATCAGGCATTCAGGTCAGAGTCAATATTTTAGGGTTGGGTTTTGCTATGTGTCACCCCTCGTGTAGGGTTAATCTGTTAATCCTTCGATGCTTAATGGCTTAACCTTTGTGTCCTTTGACATGTCTTAAGACTATAGCTGTTATTCAAGCTGGACATGGCCTACTTCAACTGGGTTCTTGCGAGATTGTGAGTTCATTTCGTAAATATTTTGTTATTATATTCATGTTTATGTGATTTCGGATCGCTTTTATCTCACGAGAGAGTTTGTATATCTTGTTATAGATACCTGAAGACCTTCATTTTGTGCTGAGAATGAGACATATGTTTGAATCCTTAGGCCATCAATCTGGATTTTACTTATCCCAACTGTTTTCTTCAAATCGGAATGCCCCATCGTCTTCTGCAGTGCCTTTAAAGCAACCAACAATGCCAATCCGCCCTCCCCCGCACCTATTCAATTGGGGACTGAGGTCAATGCCTTCAGCAACTTCAGTCCTTAATGAATCTCCCAATTTCCAAAGTTCGGCTCAACTTGGTATTCCTCTGTCCAAGGACGAAATGCACATGTTCCTTCACCCGCATTCATCAGAAGCAAGGATGGAAGATATGATGGGAGATCATGAAAACGACATCAAATGGCCTAATGGATTGAGTTTCTTCAATGCTCTAACTGGATTCACAGATGATGCCAAACTTCTGTTTAATCCTAATGACCTTGAAAACAAGCCCCAAAATCCGAATTCAGATGCTTTGAGTTTGCACAACAATGGTGGCATAAATCCTAATGAATAGCGTTCGAAAAATGGAGAACAAGAAGTTAAAGAGGAGCTTTACATTACCTGCAAGAATGACTACACCTTCTTCTACGGCTTCACTTGATCATCACGTCACACACAATACCGGGGAGTATAGAAATGAAGCAGGAATGTACTCTGATGTTATGGATTATAAAGGTCATGTATGAAAGGATAATAGGTTGAGAAGTTGTATTTAGGATGATGTTCCTTTGATGTTCGCCTTCGTTTGTTTTAAGCATTTTCTATATCATGTTGGTTCTTTGATCCTTTGGGACATTATTTTTTTCATAATTTGTTGTAGACTTCAGTTTGCCATGAAAAGTTCAAAAGAAAATAAATGTTCTAAAATTGATAATTGATCATCAACGTCGAAAATTGTTGAACACTTGCTAAGCCCTATTTTTCTCGTGACTAGAGTTTGGCCTCAGTGAGCTCAGTCTTGGTCATGGTCTCGTTATTTTTGGATCTAACCACGTAAGTAGATTCTACTCATCTAGACTATTGCTTTCTTATATTTCGCAACTCGATGGTCAAATATCCACCTTGTTGGGTAGGAAAAAGAAAAAACACCTTTAATCATGCATAAAGAGAATTAACAGGTGTAATTGCGGATACTGCAAGAACCATGAATAGTGTGAATTGGGAAATTCTTTAATAGTCCATTATACAACTTTCGTCTTTTGAATTTCATAAGGACAATGTGACGTTGCTAAAAGTTAATAAAAAATTGGTGGGTGTTATGAAATGTGTAATGAAAAATGAGTAAAAGTCGTGAATCGATAATGCGTTGTTAAAATTTGACCTGCTTTCTAGCAAACAAAAGCTTTACCAGACAAACCCTTATTGACAAAGATGAAGGGCTTATTTGGCCCGATTTTTTGCTTTTATTATAAAAGCTTTTTGAGAATGTTATTTTGGATCAGCTTACTCTAGAAGTTCTCCTAACGAGACACCGAAAACTTTATCAATATATTTTCACATTTCCTTCTGAATAGGAACTCTGTTGGTTGAATCAACGGAAACTGTGGACAGATGTGAAAAATGTGTTATAGCATTAACATTCAACTGGACAAACACGTCTTGTCTTACAAAACGCGCTTTCTTCAAATAGATAAAAAGGCCAAAAAAAAAACGTGTGGACAAAACTGTGCCTCATCAGACTACTTGTGCGCTTGTAATTCGTTTCTTGGCCAGACCCCCTCTCTTGTTGGCGTTCTAATGGCATGACATTCTTTGCACGATGATACAAAATATCTCAACGCTCTTCTCCCAAACCATCCTCCTAAATCACTCCCATTCTTGCCCTGTTTTCTCGATTTTGACTTGGGACGTTCGACCGAATCCGCAGCTTTTCTTGATCTTGATCCCTGGTGCATCAGTACCGGAGCCGGCGCAATGAATTGCCACCTTCGAGAGGAGCCATACGGTAGAGTAAAAGCTGCCGTATTTGCTGGTAATTTGGATGGAATTTTCGCCCCGTTTGGTACTTCTCTTTCAGAAGCCTCACTTGTACTTGTTCTAGCACTGCTACAATTGCTTCTTCTGCTGTTGGTGCTGTTACTGCGCGACGACATTAAAGAATTCTTGCTGCTTGTTGAACGTGAATAAATAAAACTATTTTCGGATTGAAGTGGAAAAACGTGTGGTAAAAGCCGGCCATTCAAGAACAAATGATCGGCGGGAGAATCTGGTGTTTTTGGTGTAACACATTCGAACTCAAACTCAGACATGATTGGATCGGAAACTTGCCACCGTTCGCCGGAGAATTCGCATGAAATTTTGTGGTATATTGATTGAAGTGAGAAAGCTGACGTTTATATGAAGCTAAAGTTGATATGAACAAAGCACAAGAGTTGGCTTTTCCCTTAAAGAGGGATCATGTGGTATGAAATGGACTCCCTTGTTGGGACGGCCAACTCCACCTCCGCTTAAATAATGAAGCTTAGAACGCGACCTCCTCTTATAAAAATATAAGTTGTTCGATAAAATATATATGTAATTTTCATAAACGAATGACAAAGAAACTTCATTTGCCGATGTTTGTTTGCTCAGATGTTATTCATCATATTTTTGAAAAAAATTGATGAAATACGTGAATGAAAAGTTGCATATTCCATACATCGTGTAGTGAAAATTAATTGTTAATTTTTACTAAATAGGAGAATGATCTACTAAAAGTCGTTGCTTATTAGTTGTGCCGTATCTACTAATTGGTAAATTATTTAATTTTTGGAACTTACTATGAATTTATTCGTAAAATAATTAATGTATCATGTCATTATTGTTCAATAAAAACCAAGTAATAATGCTTAGGCCGTGTTTGATAGGTCATATTTTCCGAAGAAGTAGGAAAATATTTTTCCGGTTGGTTGGAAATTATTATTATTATTTTTTTTTTGGTAATGGAAACAAATGTCATAACCAATGGTAAAAAAAAATTTCACTTTAATGGACAATTTTCGTGTAAAACAAAGTCAAACGAACACTAAACTTTGATGAAAAAAATGATTTTTTATGAAACAATTTTTTTTTCCTTTTTTTTTTACTTTTTGGCAATGGAAACAAATTTTATAACTAATTGTGGAAAAAAAAATATCACTTTAATGAACAATTTCCATGTAAAATAAAGTCAAACGAATAGAAAATTTAAAAATTTTTCGGGTGGAAAATTATACCAATCAAACACATTTGAAATCATTTTCCTTACAAAATATTTTTTAGGCAAATCTTTTCTCTGTAAAACATTTTCTTTCCACCCTTGCAATCAAATGCACCTTTAGTAGTAGATCATTTATCTCTAAATAGTGACAATTACGGGTATTACTTCAAAATTAATAACTATTATATGGACTAAGTGAGAAGTGACAAAAGAATCCTAAAGGATAATGTAAATTAAGATACATTTTCAACTTAAAACTGGTACTTTATACCAAAAATTTCCATAGTTGTTGGCTGTAATTTTCTTGCTCTTGACCAAGACAGCTTGCAAATTGAATGGCCTCGATTAAATGCATATATAAGTCATGAAGGCTTTGTTAAATCGACGTTAATGGACTTCAATTAGCTTTCATAAAGCAAAAGAGAGATGTATACATGTCTGCATATTGGGTAGGGAAAATTGTAGCATAGATTTGTAATCTCAAGGCCCATTATATAATTTTTGTCGAGCTAACCATTAAAATTTAACTTTTTGTTGAAAAGACTCATAAATAAATCTATTTTTCGGAAAAGAAGAACAAAGGAACCTATGAAAATCACTAAGTGATTTGGCTCTACGTACCATGGTTGGGACTCGGACATAGGTGAGATATAATGGGAGAGAGATTGGCAGGGTTTGGGGTCGTGAATTCGATGGTGAGAAGGCGGATGCTGAAAGAGGACAAAGAGGTCAGGACTCAGGGCTAGGACGGGATAGGAATAGAGAAGAAGATACATACTTGTTTAGCTCTAGTAGGACCTAATTCATTTAATCAAAAAAAATATATATTTAAATTTAGGTATAAATTAACTAAAATATCTAAGTTTAACATATACCTTCAAATGGCTGGCTTACACGTGCATGTCTATAGATTGAAGTCCTTAAGGTACAAGTACATCCACCTCTTGTCTGGAAGAAAAGGCAAAAGTTTAGGACAATGAAACCTTAATAATGTGATGAAACAGTTTTTGAGAATCCAAACATGGCGACAACTTAGGTATTTAGTATTTCATTGTCTCCCAATAGGGTTTACGTAGACGACCATTGGGTCCATGTACATCTCCTTCTGCCTTTGGGACCACTTCATTTGTTATTCCATATTGTCTAGGCCTCTAGCAAGTCTACCTCGATCTTCATAATTGAATTATGGTCAAATGTTAATTGCAATGCAATTTTCAGCTAGACTTAATACTGCATGCACATTAAACATACCCGTTGTAAATTTATTTCGTAAGTGGATGGTGTAATATACAAATTATACAGGTAATAAAGTAATGAATAGAATATCGAAATTATGACGACTGATTGACTTTAAAAACTAGCTCTAATTTGAAAAACACACAATTACTTTTTGAGTTTGAACTTAACTATAACTAATTATCTACGAAAATAAGCACTTAATCAAGTCATTATGCCAAATTAACACAATTTAGACCTTCATGGCAAAGATTATGCATCTTGTCAGAGCACAACCTTTCTTTGTTGCATGCAATATTATTATGTGTCGTATCAATTCAATGGGAAAGTTGGAAGTGACTTAAAATTTGATAAAAGAGAGAAGTGAAAAATTCATTAACGCATCTTAAGGCTTTTTCTATAATCTTGTATGATTTGGTAACTAAATAAATGTAGTTGCACTCATAAGTATTTAGTCAATAAACAGTGCTTACTCAAATATGTGGTTGATAATGATTATATCGTAAAAATTCTCTATTTTCGTCGCATCGTTTTAATACTAATTTATTTTTTCACCAATATAAATGTGGAAATGTCCGATTTTTTTTTTTTAGCTCATTCATAAATGGAATTCTAGAGAGCCATAGACTTCAATGCATCCTCCAAACAAATTTGCAAACATTCAAGATGCACGCAAAAAAGAAAAAAAAAATTGTTCATATTCGAGATGCGTGCAAAGTGCGTGTAAAGACGAACAATATGGTTAGGGTCAATTCATACTTCTAGAATTAATCATACACGCGTAAAAAAGACATTTCGGCACAAATTTGACAAGACAAAAATGAAATATAAAGTGCTTTTCATTTTTCGGGATTTCTCTCTATCACTCACTCAGTGTATTAGAATGAAAAAGTTAGAAAATTAAGCACAAAAATTCTACGAATTTTCAATTACAGAATCAAAGGCGTAGTTTATTTTGTTAGCACGTTTTAAAATTACGGTCAAATATTTTATTATTATCTTTAATTATTTAAAAATAAGATTGACAAAACGCTCTTCTTACAGATTTTTACTTCAAATTAAGTCCTTATTTGATGGTCATTAAAACAAAACTTTTTTTTTTCTCAAACTCATTTTCAACCGCACACTTTCACAATAAAATATTTTGAATGTAAATCCAAAATTTTTTCCTATTCTTTAATCACACATTCTCAAAAAATCACTTTTCAAAACTCATTTTCCCTAAAACCTTATTTTAATGATTATCAAACAGAAGTTAACAATATCACATATTTGATAAATAAATTAAAAGACCTTAAATGTTTTTCTATTTTTTGTTGATTTTGTAAATGAATACAATCTTATTTATACCTATTTACACTATCGACGGTGCTCACTCGAATCTTGATTGACAATTCATAGGCAACGATTGCTTTACTTCTTATTTGATAAAACAAAAATGATAAATGCATTAATACGTCTTAAATCTTTTTCTATAATCTTGTATGATTTCGTAAGTAAATAAGTGTAGTTGCATTTATACGAATTGTGACAACTTGAATCTTGGGTGGATAATGATTATATTTCAATAATTCTCCATTTTTCGTTGTGTCATTTATACGAATTGTGACATTCAAGTGCTTACTTGCATAATAATATAAAGTGATTTGTTTTTTTTTTTTTTTT